ATTCAGCCGCTGTTGAAACTGATCAGTTTCAGCAGCGGCTGAATCTGGACGCCAGTTCCAACTTACATACAGATTCAACTTAAGAACAAACCTACAGTCCCTATCTTGTACGTAACCCGGGGACTGCCTGTATTACCTATTTTATTTTCTCGCCACGAGCTCTCATGCTTGAGGTCTCTTCTAGTCTTCACAGTTATTGCATGCACGCCACTCTGCTCTCAAAACCTCTTCATGATTACCTTGTGCTATGGCACTTTGTGCTACTTGATCATTTTCTGTTTTTCTTTTCTAATAACTTTCTCTTTGAAAAAACCCACCCCCATCGACTCTTGCTAAGTCTGGTGAGCTCAAACATTTCTCCTAACATACTCGTATACGTGTGTCTCTTGGTCTATCTCTCTCGCTTTATCTGCTTTTGGCCCAGTGCTCTGAAACCTAGAGGGCTTTACCCCAGTTTCTCACCCTCTTTCATTTCCTTTACATTCTCCATTCCCAGTCTTGAGAGAGAGTCAGAGACTTCCTGCCCTTCATTTCCACACCAGAGAGTCAGAGACGCTGATGTGATATTAAAATGTCTATCATTTGTTTGAACCTCTTGGTTATTGAGTAAAGCTAGAAGATGTTATGCCTTGTAGCCATATGTGTAGTTTTGGGTGGGAAATTCTATGAGCTTCCTCCCTTTAGTTGCATAGCTATCCATTATGGGTGTTCTGCACCTTCCTCCAAAACATTTGGGACAGATTTCTGTTAGACACTGGATAATGGTCCAAAATAACCATTGTACTGACCTAGTCTGGTATTTCCTATGTTGCTGTATTTCTTTATTGCCAGGCAAAGAAAATCACATGGAAGACTCAACTAATAAAAGTAAACACTTAGCATTTATCTAGTGCTTTGTATCTCCATTGAATTATACAAATATTTAATTCAGTTATTTCAAAATACTTCAGTGAGAATTCAAAGCTAGAACAGCCTATGGTAGCTTGCCCACAGCCAATCAACAAGCAAGTCATTGCTGGATCCAAGATTAGAATCAGGAATTTCTGGCTCCCTCTTCCTTGCTAGAATGTGCTGTATCTTTTGAGGTGTGTTTGGTGCTATAGATGTGAATAAATGGAAGCTGAGAAGTTTCTATCCACTCAATTTGCAGTTAAGATGCCTCTTGAACCCTTAAGTGGATCAGAAAAGGCCTTTTGGGGGATCAGAGGATAACAAGTTGTCAGTTGGGATGAAATGTTTTTGGATGTTTCAATGGAAGAGGTTTTGGATAAAGATGTGAGAGGAAAACTGTTCTGGATCTCTAGGAGAGGATATGAAATGGGCAAATTTTGCACACACAAAAAAAGTCTTTATCTGTTTTGGTGCAAATTTCACTATTTTCTATCTTTAACAAAGAATTATTTTGAAGAGTAACATACAGATATTGAACCAGATAGTAAGCAGGGGAAAACCAGCATCACTCCAGCTGAAAACAGTGACTGTAGGTCACAATGTGTTAGGCACTGTACAAATACAAACACACTGTACAAATACAAACACACTCCCGAACGGTTTATAATAGGGCTGTCAATTGACCTGCATAAATGCTGAATTGCCTCTTTAAAGTGCTGCTCCAGCACTTCAAAGGGGCAGCACAAGCAGAGCTGGGAATCAGCTGGAGTCCCCAGCTGATTCCCAGCTCTGCTTGTGCAACCCCTTTGAAGTGCCGCTCCTGCATCTTAAAGGGGCAACACTGCATGGAGCCCAGGGTCAACTGAGGACTCTAGCTGACCCCAGGTTCCGCCTTCGCTGTCCCTTGGAAACACCACTGTGGCGCTTCCTAGGGGCAGCGCTACATGGAGCCTGGGATCAGCTGGAGTTCCCAGCTGATCCCGGGCTCCATGCAGCACTTCCTCGTTCAAACGCCGCCACAGCATTTCAAAGGGGAGTTGCACGCGATTA